CTTGACATCTGGTCCAAGTTTGTAAATTCCAAGGAACTAATGATGAGAATATTAGGAAAAATGATAGCGCCCAGAATTATCATTATCTGGCCAGTGGTGATAGCAGTAAAGTCAGCTGAGCTCCCAAACTGGTCTCTGCTATAGTTTGGATCTGGAATGACCCCTAAAGGATCATGTGTAAAAGGCTTGGTCCCCAGTTTGGCACCATTGGGAGGTGGTAACTTTAAGAGGTGAGGCCAAGTGGGAGTTCTAGGGTCATTGGGGGTATACCTTGAAGGAGATGTTGATGTCCCAGCCACTCTTCCTCTGGCTTTGTTTCCCAGCCACAGCTTTGAACTGCACTGCTCCATCATACACACCTGCCATGATGTGCTGCCTCACCACAACCCAAAAGCAAGTGGCCAGCCAATGGACTAGACTCTCTGGAAATGTGAGGCAAAATAAACTCTTTCTCTTACAAGTCACTTAGCTCAGATATTTGTTATAGTAACACATAGCCAACTAACAGCCTCCAATTTAAATGCTAATCCAGAGAAGAATGATTATCCAGAGTTAAACTGATACTTTCCTATGAAGAGGGAATGTCTAGAAATCAAATCACAAATGGATCTATCACTTATCAGCTATAGGCTTTTGGAAGTTACTTAACTGGAGGTTAAATAAAACTGGAGAAAGTAATAATTGCCCTCACAAAATTTTTGTGATAATTAAACGATGCAACACTTAAGTTGGATTTTTTTTAATTGATGTACAGGTTTATAAAACATTGCAGGGAGATTGATCGTTTGCAAATGGGAAGGAGACCAAGCCATGGTGGGAGGGGAAGGGAGAGGAGGAGAAGGGGGAGAAAAAGAATCCAGCTGTGTTATGTACATGTAACAAATTCCCACAAGGAATGTAATCATTATGTACTACAAATGTACCAATAAAAAGTAAAAATTGGGCTGGGGATTTAGCTCAATGGTTCAGCCGCCTGCCTGGCAAGCAGGTCCTGAGTTTGATCCCTGGTACAAAAAAAAAAAAAAAAAAAAAAAAAAAAAATCAGTATTATTTCAGGTTTTGGAAGGAAATCTGGTCAGCAAGTAGATGCCAGAAACAGAAAGTGCTCATTGGAGAAGAATACGAGGCCAGATGAACTGATGATGTATCTGAGGTGACCAACAGCCAAATGTCTCTTACCAGCTTTTTATTGATAAAGTCAAACCACGACATGTTCACCAAATACCCTAGGCAAAATCTGAAACAGCCTGTGAGGGTCTGAGGCCCACTCTCCACACCTGTCCTAACTATGCCTACTTGAACAGTACTAGATAACTAATAGATACTTGATGAATACCATCCACTCTTATATGTCCATCATATACCATTTTAATTATAGAAGCTATATTATATTTCAGAAAATTTGAGACACATGATAAAAAAATTAAATTTCACCTATTAAAACTTCATTGAGGGCCGGGGATTTAGCTCAGCGGTTTGGTGGCCTGCCTTGCAAGCACAAGGACCCGAGGTCAATCCCCGGTACCAAAAAAAAAAAACTTCATTGGGCTGGGGATTTACCTTAGTGGTTCTGCCGCCTGACTTGCAAGTACAAGGACCTGAGTTTGATCCCCAGTACAAAAAAAAATAATAATAACTTCATTATATTTTGATGTATTTCTCTTCTACTTTTTATATAGCATGCCCCCCCCCTTTTTTTTTTCAGGGCTGGGATAGGGCCTTGCTTACATTAAGCACATATTCTGCCTCTGAGCTGAATCCCTAGCACTGTGCATGCTGGTTAAGCCCTTACTTTAACCATAACTGTAGAGGCAATTTTTCATTCTGCTTATTTCCTTCCTTGATAGTATATCATGGGTATTTTCTCTGCTTATGTTTCAGCATATATATTGGCTTTAGAGTTGATAGATGTCCCATCCATTCAATAGGTTGATATTCCAGCCCCCTATACATGAATATTTACATTGCTTTCACTTTAAAAATGTTTAAGCAATACTACAATGTACACCTGCACATTTGTAGTATTTCATGGGTTTAAGATTATTTTATTAGAATATTCAGAAAGAAGAACTGGCCCAAATGGCATGAACATGTTTATGATTCTTTATACACCTTACAAAATTGCATTCCAGTAGATTTAACAAACTTTCAACTGCCACAAGGTATTTCACCACAACCTCTCCAGAAGTGGGAAATGGATCTATTTTTAAATTCAGTGTGTGTAAAGTGGTACCCTCTATTGAATAATTCACATTTTTATCTTAAATAAAGACAAAACATTTCCTAAATATGTATCGGTTGTTTTTCCATTTTTGTAAATTGTCTGTTTAACTTTCTTATCTATTGAATGAAGAAATAATTTTGATAATTCATGCAAGCAAGACGATTAGGTCTTTTTAGCATAAGAAACCCTGGTAACTCAAGTGAATTCAACAGTGAGAATTCTGCTTCTTCTTCTATTGAAGAGGCAGATCTGCTATCAAGCCAGCTACACCATGTGAAATGCTCAGTGAAGTATCAAGTGTCTTACAAAGATAATGGGTAAATGATTATTATTGTTCTCTCATTTCAACTACAGCCTAGAGCTCTTAGACTTACAAATGAAATGGCTCCAACAGAATTATGCTGTGTTAAGGATCAAATCAGGCAAGATGAGAATTGGAGAATTCCACCCAGAAACCTAACAACAGAGAAGGCCCACCTTTTAGGGACCAAGTCCCCAAGCCGCACCCCAAAACCTGCTCATTTATCACAAAGTGCCAATACTGCAATTGAACCTGACTGCTGAAGTTTTAGTTTAGACAGAACAAGTGTTATCCAATGCTCTGCTGCTGGCGCGCCTTGGCTTGTGTGATGACCAAGAGGACTCTGTGTGTTGGCTGTGGCGTGTTTGCCATAGGTTTGCCAGCACTGCCTAACAGTTTCCCACAAAGAGTGTGATGTGGTAGAATTTTTTTTCCTGCTCTAACTTTCCTGAAGAGGCCAGAAACAGTTCATAATGGAAAAGATTTAGAATAATCCAAATTGACTGAACTACTTACTACTGACCTACAAAGTTGCCTTTGCTTGTAACCAAAATTCCTAGACCCTGGGCTCCAGAAGCAAGTATGTCTATGAAAATAAAAACCTATTTCTGCTTTCAAGATATTGGGAGCTGTTCTACTAAGGGAACTGTATATGTTGCATAAATCCAAATTACCCACTTAATGACTGTCCTTATAATTGTGACGAAGTGAGAAAGAATGTGTGAGATGCAACTATATGTCCCTGCTGTTGTGTTGAAGGTGGTTTTTATTTGTATATTGTTTCATTGTGTTTAGATTTTTCATAGCTGTATTTACTCTTCTAATCAGAATATATAAAACACTGCTAGGTTTGCATGACAAAAGGTGAGTCTGAGAATAGTTCAACTTTTCTTTCTTCTTCCCATTTCTCCATTTATTTTAGTGTGTGTGTGTGTGTGTGTGTGTGTGCGTTGGATTTGAAACCAAGGCCTCATGCATGCTAGGCAAGCACTCTGCCACTGAGCTACAGCCCTAGTTTTCCATATATGTATGAATGAGATATTATTCCTTAAATTTAAAGAGGTCTTAGGTTCCATCTCCAGCATTAAAAACAACAACACAAATTCTGTGTGACCAAATATCTAGGTGATAAATGAAAAACTTGGTTTTTAAATGTTTCCAAATACGTGCATACTTTAAAACCCCAAAATAGAAACAAAACAAATCAAAATCCTGCCTGATAGCAGGAAGTGTCCTGCTGCCTCTGCTGTCAGGATGTGGGCTACGCAGAAGTCTGTGTCATACCAGGCTGGATCTGTGTGACGCCAGCCAGGAGTGTGTTAAGAATCACTCCTAAGTAAAACTGTGGCAGCTTCTGCTGATCAATGTGGGGAGACTCGGGGGCAAAAACTGGGGTGCTTACAGGTGAGACAAACAAAAAATGCTTTTCACTTTTTTCTTTATCATAGAAAGAATAAAAGGAAAAAAGAATAATGACAAATAGCCTGGTGACATTGCTAAAAAAGGAAACGCAGGCCTGGACCCCAGCCCTTTCTGCATTTTGGGGCTTCTCTAAGGCATGCATGATCCTCTCCCCCCACTCAAGGGACACAGAAAATTCAGATTCCTTTTAAAATCTCCATCTTGTCAACAAGCACTTCACAATTTAAAACACTGGGAGATCAAGGAGACACTCCTGTGTCTCATTTGTTTCGCTGGCCAGCAGTCCGTGATCCCCAAAATGTGTGCTTGGTCCCTTGCGGGTTTGTTATTTTCTGGCCCAGCTATGCGTTTTCTGAAGCTCTGGGCGAGCTGTGAAGACTCGGTTTGTCCACCGGACAGGTAAGGATCTGGCCAGGTGGCTCTGGGGTGCGAGTTCAGGCACCCGCAGCGGTGCAGAGGTCGGGGTAAGCTCTCGGAAGTGAGCCACATCTAGCCCGTCAAGGTGGCTGGTGGAAGACTAGGAAAGGTCCCTGTGAAAATCAATGCACGGTCACCCTGTGGGAGTCTAAAGTGTCTCCCAGATGCTAGCTTTGGACATGACAGCCCCTCTCCGGCTCTCACTAATCAGCCTGGATGGTAGGACACACAGAGGGACCTGGAGCTGGCCCTAGGGATGGCTATGGTACTTCCTCTGGTGCGGGCACAAATCAATTCAGCCTGACTGCTCGACCGCAGCCCAGCAGAGAGCTGGATGATACGGGAAGAGAAGTAGGCTGGAGGCTGCTGGAGCTTGGACCCCCCCTCCCCAGGAGCTGTTGCCATGGTCACAGGGGACTTTTGATGTGAAGCGCGGCGACCCCGCCCCCCCCCCCGCCTGCTTGCCTTCAGGATGACGGCTGACGTCACGGACGTCCGTGTCCCTGACAACCCGCCTGCTCCTTCAGGATGACGGCTGACGTCACGGACGTCCGTGTCCCTGACAGGCCACCTGTGGGTTGCTCCCGGCTTTAAAGCGGCTGTTGTGCCCTGGCCCCCCCAGCCGTATCCACCGTGTCGACACCGGAGCAGACCTTTCCGGAACCACAGCCCCATCCCTCACTGTGGCGGCTGCGGACAGGACAGAAAGCCAGGGAGAGGCAAGTATTCCCCAAACTGCTTCCTACCTCCTCATCCTCCTCCCCGTGCCCTCGCTCTGCAGCTTGAGCGGCAGGGTAGGAGGGGACTTTCTTCCAGAAAGAAGTGAACAGCAAGCAATCGATTTTCTTCTTCAGCCATGGTGACCAATGCCAGGTAAAATCCCAGACAAAGTCCCTGCCCGAGCCCTTTCCCAGGCTTGGCGTTGCGAAGTCTACCTCTCGCAGCCGTGAATGGGCGGGGGAGGGGAGCTGTCCGGAGTCGGGCAGCTGAGCGCTCCCACCCACCTGCTCTTGGCCAGCCAGAGTTGTAGGGGCGTCTATTTTGCACCCAACCGCTGGCGTCTCGCTCTTTGGGGCAGACAGGCACCCCCTCCTCGACCTCGGGAGTTCAGCTCTTAAAAGCCAGCCTTCCGCAGCCCCTCCGCCCCCTCCACTTCACCTCTCACCTCTCAGTTCCAGGTTCAGCAGACCTGTTGCACCCAGAAAAGCGCCCCAAGCCGATCTACGCTCCGGAGCCGGACTCTGCTTGCCAATACCCCGAGAGCGCAGCACCGATCGGGAAATGTGGGGAGCTCGCAGAGGCAACTGAGTGATCATCTCAGTGTTCAGGGCCCTTCTTCCTACCTAGAGATAGAAGCAAATAACTCACTAACCCGGGCAGAGCAATGGAGAGGCGGAAGCCCTATCTGCTGAAAAAGAACATCTAGCGCAGGTGCGTGCGAGTCTCGCCTTTTCACCCTCCGGGCTCTTGCCTAGGCATCAGAATCCCGCTGTCCAGGTCCCTGGAGCCCCTCCCCGGGCAAATCGGCAAATCCAAGTTTCCAGCTTCAGCACCAGAGACTGGACAGCGCCCTGCCCACAGTGCTCAGTGACGATCCCTGGGAGGCAGCGCGGAGGAGTCCTGGAGGTGAGGCGGGTTTGCGGAAGACGAGGAACCCACCCTCTCCAGGGGTCGGGGAGTCGGGTTCTTGGAGGGCATTCTCTCTCTTCCTACATCCAATGGGAAAACTTAGCGCTAAGTGCCGGCCAGGACGAGATGCGCACTCGCAGCGGGGAGCGTAGGGGCCAGGAACGCACAGCATCTATTGTGTCCTCGGCACTGGAGTTCTTTGAAAATCGCCACAGCTTCTCTCTCACCTGCCCCTTCCCGCCCCACAATCTCCATAGCCGTACTAAAAGTGAACGAAGGAAAAAGCGCTGGGGTGGAGAGAGAAGATAGTGACTCCGAGGGGAGAAGCACATTTTTTTCTAGGTGCTAACCTTTGGGCATAAGGAAAAAAAATCTGTACAAAATGAACATCAAGTTACACGCTTTTTATCCTGATACCCAAAGTCCCCTTTGTATGAGCAGCAGAGGGGATTGCTTTGCCAGGAAGGGAGTCAAAAAGCCCTGGAGGGGGAGAATGTACCACAAAAGGGCTAACAGAGGAGGGGGAGGAGAGCAGCGGACAAGACGCGGCAATACGTGGTTACTAGGCAACCGCCCGCAGCCCCAGCCTCCTGTTGCCTTGGTTACAGTGAATGAAGGGGCTTTGGCTACTGATTATCTGTCTGCACCTTGATTCTCTAAAATGTACCTTGGGAGCCCTTGCCTTCCCCAGGCTGGGTGGAAATCACCACCCTCCCACGTAATCCTTCCCCACTACCTAGGGAAATTCTGGAAGACAAATTTTTCCTTTTAAATCCAGGCACAGGGCAATTTTCCCGCAATACTTCCCACTCGACCCTCTCCAAACCCTTGCTTTAGAAGTAATAGTAACCCACCCTGCCATTTCGTCAGGATTTACATTTTTTGCCCCCCTCAACACACACGCACTTATCCCTTTATTTATTTATTTATTTAATTTTTGTACCAGGGATCGAACTTGGGTCCCTGAGCTTGCAAGGCAGGCGGCGAAACCACTGAGCTAAATCCCTGGCCCTATTCCTTTATTTTTTAACTTATTTATTTATTTTGTACCGGGGATGGAACTCTGGACCTTGTGCTTGTGAGGCAGGCGGCGAAACCACTGAGCTAAATCCCCACCCCCACCCCCTTTATACTGGAGGCGCTGATCTCTCCCCATTTTCTCTCTTCCTTCCCCCCCCCTACTTTAAATGAGAAAAATACATTTGCTCTTCGAGGGAGAACAAGAGGGAGGCAGGAATCTTGTCCAAGGATGTCTACTCTAAAGACAGTCTTAGCATCACAGGCCCCCAGGACCCCTCGCAGGAGGCGGAGGAGGTGAATTCTAGGCTGATTGGCCCCGCAGACCTCAGGAAGGGAGAAACACATCTCCCTCAACAAGCGGCCACTGGCTCAAGATTCGCATCTCTCTACTGTGTCCCGGCATCCACTTCACAACCAGCAAGCGCAGCCAGCTTCTGGTCCTGAGCTTTCTCTTTCCCCTGGCTGACAAATATTGACTCCACTTTCCACCCGTCAGCCTTGCTCTCCTGCGTTCATTTGTATCATCTGGCTGGAGAAGCGCTTTACCCGCAGTTTTTAAAAGGCAACCAAACCATTTTCAGAGTGAAACCACTAGCGAGTCACTAGAACAACCTGTGTCTTGTACATTAGTTCACCCAGACGACTTCTCATAAAGAGCCAAGAATTTTCTATTTCCAAAGAAAAACCTTTTTTTTTAAACTGAGCTATCGCACAGTAGCACAAGAAGGGAGGAAGTCTGCGTATTTTAGGCAGTAACCATCACATTTCACCTGCAGTACCTGCACCAACAAACACAAACATCTTTCCTTACACTATTTTCCTTCATTTGTTGATAAAATAATTTTTTAAAAATCGCTATAATTTCAATGTATGCTTATGGCCAAAAATGACCTCGGTGGACCAGCTAGATATAGTTGGGGAGTATGTATATTAAAAATTCTCTCACATGTATCTATAGAAATTTCTGATAGACCAGACCAGACAGCTGGTCTGGTTTTTGTATTTTTTCTCAAATAAATGATTTTTTTATTAGTTCTTCTGAGCTGTGATCACTGATCACATCAATAATGTCCTATAGCAATAGTAGTTATTTTGCTACCAAAAAAAATCTTTCTGCTCATTTCTTTATGGAAAAGGATTTACTTTCCTTTTGAGAATATAAGCAAGATCTTATTGGACAGAAAAGAACCACCACTCTCTCATTGGTTGGTGTATATTGCCATCAACCAATAAGAGGATGCCATTTATCCTTTTCTCACTAGCTGAGTGAGCAGAGCAGCCAGGATGATTAAATCTCCTTCAGTTCTACCCAGTAGCAAAGGATAGACCTCAGAGTTCTAGAACCCAGGATCTGGGACTTACTTTGGCTAACACAGATTGCATTTGACTGACAAGGATGAACTTTCATATCTAGCTGCTTGCAGTTTACCTGAACAAATTTGCATAACATATTGTTCTATGGATTTTTTTTTTCATTTATGTTATATCACGATCATCCCAAGTCTGTGTAGGTTATTGGTATCAGCACATTGAAGACCCAGGGCTTTTTATGATTTCCCCTAGAAATACAGAATTGGTCCTCACTGCTAGGGATATGGTGAAAACTTTAGTCCTTTAGGGGATGAGAAGGGAAAGTTAGAAGAGATGAATAGTTATCTCTGATTTGGGTTTCATTCTGTTAACTTTGCTATCCCTTGACCCTTTGATTTGTTTGTTTTCCCACTTTGTTCTTCCTAGCTGTCCTTCTGGCCTGAATTTTCAGTGGGAAGTAGAGAAGCTGAATGGATGGAGAAGGGAACCTCTAAGTTAGTTTAGAGGCAGACCCTGTCACTACCACAGAAGGCTTGTGGCAGGGAGGTGATGTGGTCTCTGGAGTTGGAAGTTATCTCAGCTCCTCGTGGCACTGGAGTTGGCCAGGTCTGTTTTTTTGTTTTTTTTTTCTTTTTTCCTCTCTGCCTGCAATAAATAGTACAATTTAGGGATGATGACACTGGTTTCCAGATTTCTAAGAGAGGAGTCAAAAATTCTCCCTTGTTCTAGGACAGACTCTCCCATATCAGCCTGGCTGCCTGTAGGATGCTTTCAGGTAAGTACAGACTCCCTTGCTCAATGTTTTCTTGGTGGTGGCTGGAGGGGGTGCAGGAAATGCACAGATACCTGACTACAATGTTGTTACCAGGAGCACTTCCTGCATGGACCACATCGGATGTCAGCGGGACCATGAGCTTCTGTGCTAGATGATAAAACCTCAATATTAGGGGCTATGTCTTGTCACTTTTGATTCCCTAGAGCTCAGTCATGTTTAAAGTAGAGGCTGAACACAGGTCTGAACTAAATGCTGCGAGCTAACATTCCAAGTCCCTTTACTTCCTCTTCATGAGAATGGCAGCTCTAACCCTGGACCCATCATCCCTACCTCTGCCTCCCCTCTAAATCAAAAGCATCACATTCCCTAGCTCTCTTCACAAAAGATAAATGAAGGCTCAATTGCTACCATGGTTACATGGAGTAGCCACACTGAGGATCCCTATACCCATTACTGTCATGAAGTAAGAGAAGAGGGGTTGAGGAATCGTTGTCATGGAGGAAACCATGGAAACAAGCATTGCTAAGGGGACAGCTGTAAATTCAGAAGAAAGAAATTAGAAGTGGGGAGTGGGACTTAGTGGGCTCAAGAGCAGGTCACTTTTTCAAGGTACACTTCTCCAGGACCATAGCAGGCTTTATTTTTTCTACTTATAACTTCCCAGATGGAGCCCAGAATTAAAGATTTTTAGAAATGTTAGAAAATCACAGTTACCATCAGCTCACGTCCATTACTGTTGGATTGGTCCCTGAAAAGAGGCAGGGTTCAGAACGAGAGTCATGTGGTATGAACTGGTCAATCCACTTTCACTGCCTCTTCACCCAGCATTGCGTGTAATCTAAGCCAGCTGGTGTGAGAGGCATTGGGATGGAATAACGAGCAAAGAACAGGACAGTGACTGGGAGTGACTTCAGAGCCAGGGCAAGCCTGCAGTGTGGCGTCCAGAGAGCCACCGCAGTTCTCTCCAAACGCTGCCTGTGATGTCTGTAGCTTGTCATTCCCACCCGGCGTTCATCTGCAAGGTCCCCTAGAAAGGCCTGCTTTGTCTAGGAACCTCTGGGTTCCTAACCTGTCCTGTGAACCCCTCATGCCTTACTTAGTGAGCTGTGTTCTCTGGTCTTTTTCTCTGAAGCAATTGCTAGGGCTGGCAATGCCCTAACCCGTTCTCACCAGTGACAGAAACATGGGGCTATGTTTTGTTTTAAAAGAAAGCAAGGATATTGAACTCCTCTCTGTTTCTTGATGGGTTAAAGGGAGGGAGGGGGTCTCAGGTCACTGCCTCTTGGAGTTCAAAGCCAGCCCCCACCCCACAAGGTGTAGATCAAAGAGAGTCTCAGGCTCCTGGGGAAGGAGGAACTCTTACCCTTGCATCTTTTGCAGGGCAACTGGCATTTTCTAAGGCCCACACAGGACCATGCCCTGGCTCTGGCTGACAGCTGGACATTGCCAGCCTTCTCCACATTGGTCCCCTTGGCCCCTGAAGCTCTCTGTCACCCTGCATGGGGAGAATGAAGAGTCGGCTAAAGAGGAAGAGCTCACAATTAAAAAGCAAAAAAATTAAAAGCACCTATAGGGAAGGGTAATTATCCTTCAGCTGTTGCTGAAATACAATTAGGGCCACACTCTCAAGCTGCCAGGATATTGTGGCTTTTGCTAATTAAGGAGCGGATGTGCCCCGCCAGTGCAATTAGAGGCTGGCCCAGGCAGTGGGGGCGCCGCCTCACCACGCCTCGCCGCCTCTCAGTGCCGCCTGCAGGGGACATTAGCCGGGGACCTCAGCCTTGAGCCAGCCTGCCTGGAGGGGATACCTAAGCCAGGGTTCCACCCTCTTCCTGTCCTTTCTGCTCAGCTGGTCCAACCACACCAGCGGACTTCACTCTGAACTGTGGTACATCGGCCTCCGAGGACTGTAGGCATGGGCAGGGAGGGTCACCAGTACCTACAGCTTTTTTTTTTTCTTTCAGAACTAGGATCAAATGCGGGGCCTTTGTTCTGAGCTACATCCCTAGCCCTTTTTAAATTTTGAGGCAAGGTCTTGCTAAGTCACTTAAGTTGCCCAGGCTCAGCCTCCAGAAGTGCTGACATTACAGGTGGGCACCACCCCTAAACGACCACCTTCAGCTCTTCCTGTTTCCCACCCTCCTCCAATGTACAGTGGCTTGAGATTCATGAAGAAAAGGAAGAAAAGCTTCCCACTCACTGCCCTGCAAAAATGAGCTTTCCCCATTATTTTCACTATAAAAAAATAGAATGCTTTGGAAAAAAAAGAGGGAAGTAAGAAAATCTGGAGCAGAGCTGGGAGTTCCAAGATGGTGGTGGTGCAGCTTGGTAATGGAGAGAAGACCTGGCCTGGGGCCTGCGGTCGGGCAGCAGGCATGACCAGGGCCGTGTGGCCAGCCCCGTGTGGAAGACTAGTGATTTTGTTGTTGTCTCACTGTGCTCAACAACAAGTCCCAGTCTGCCGCATGGTGCCGGCGCTCCGCAGCGGTGTGGGGGGGGGCAGGGCCTCTCTGGGCTTCTCACTACCTTCTGTAGTCCCTAGGGAACACCTCAGGCCCACTCCTCAGAGCCGAGGACAAGGACGAGCACCGGGACACACTCCAGGGTGACAGGAAGAGGCGGAGCTTCTGTTCCTGGGAGCCTGGGGCTCCTGCTGCACCCCAACTCAAGGCAGGAGAGTCCCCTTGAGTGACTCACTCTTTCACCCAACACCATTTTGAGCCCCCACATTGGGTACTTTGTCAAGCAGCAAACTCAAACACCCTCACTATTCCTCTCCAAGTCTATTCCCAACCTTCCCTCTGCCCACACAGCCGAGAACACTAGTGTCTCACAAGCTTAAATTGGACTGGGAGTTGTACGCTTTTGGGGAATGCTAAAAATGCAACCATTAGCTGAGCTCACCCAGCCTCTACTGCTTGCCAGCTGTGTGACCTTTAGAAAGGCTCTTAACCTCTCTGAACCTAGGAAGTCCTTCATTCTACCCAGAGGCTCCAGTTCTTGCTGCCTCCGCCTTTCTGTCCCCTCCTCTAAATAGATTCTCTTGTCCCCATTGCAGATCTCCTACATTTCCCTTTACTTCTAACCATGGCAAAGGCAGTGGGCAGCCAGTTCTATTAGAAATCTCATTTACACTTGAAAAGTCTGCAAATTGGCCTAGCTCAGCAGGTGTCTGCCCTTCGCAGGGCGGATGTCAGGATGAGCAGAGCAGGGAGACAGAGGACACAGGAGTCAATCTCTCCCCGGCAGCTTCTGCGGCTGGAACAGGGTAAACGGGGAGAAAATCCTACTTCCGGAAACAAGCATCTGGGAAGTGGGGTCGGCTCCTGATGGAAGAGTTGGATACAGGGGCCCACGCTGGAGCGCAGAGAGGGGAGTCCTGGCTCTGAAGTCAAACACGCACATGTCCATCCTGGCTGCACCCCTGCATAGCTGTGTGACTTTAAACTAGTCACTTAACGTCTTTGGGCCTTGGATTCTTCAACTCAGGATGGAATTAATCACCCCCACCAGGGCAGGCTGTTAGGACAAGTGGGCGTGTGAGGCGCTAGGATGCCCCCTCCCCCACTGTCCCCTTCCCGGAAGTCAGGACTCTCGGGCACCTCCCACCACGGTGGAGTTTTATCCCTTCTGAGGGGTGACCCTTCTCCCCAGGTCACTGCGCCGTGCATTTCATGGGACAATGAACGCAGCCCAACCCCCTCCCCGCTGTAAAACCACAAAAATCAAAGACTAGAATTTGTGACTTGCCTCTAAGTCACTCAGCAAGATTCACAATTTAGTGCTTCATGAGGTGACCTTCTAGGTAGCTCAAGGGCGAGGGCCTTCGGGTTCGTCACCCTCGCCGCCCGTCACCTAGCTTCCGCAGCAGCCTGGCCCAGCGCTCACATCGCAATTGCAAGTTTCCCTGGATGTGCGGGGATGCAGCGCTCTCTGCTGGGCCTTCGCGGCAACTGCTCCTTAGGCGAAGTTACGTGAAGAAATTGTAGAAAGGAGCAAGCAAGGGCGGAGAGTAAAATTTCCCTGAATCAAATTCTTCCAGTCTTTCATTAAAAAATTGTGTGAAATTAACCTGTATCTATGAGTCCTGGAAATTCTTAGGACCTGGGGTGCCACGATTGTCTTGGTGACAGGCCATGTCCTGGTAGGTCCAAAGTTCAGCCACTGTGGGGCCCAAGGCAGTTTAAGCGATTTAATGAGAACTTGCCCCATTATTTTTTTAAAGTTTTTTTTTTAATATCTCAGTTTAAAGGACCTGAGTTCAATCCCCACCACCTCCCTCCCCACACACACATACACACACACAAAAGGGAAGCTGCTTGGGTAAATGATTTACAGTTGGCCCCCAGGGTTTTGTCAGCTTCCTTCCCTCTAACTCAGGGGGCCTTAAACTCAGCCCTGCATCAGGATCAGTACTGACCAGTCAGCTCAGAAGAGTACAGATCGCTGGGCTCTGCCCTGGCTTTCTCACTCATTAGGTCCAGTGAATCCCCAGGCAGGGTGGCAGGGTCTAGGCTGCTGTTCTAGGACCGAACTTAGAGAACCACTGCTCTAAAAATGGCCAGATCAGTACACCTCTTCAGGTCTGCAACTGGCCCGGCACCATGGGGATCCCTACAGCCCACCCCTAAGTCCTCAAAGTGGTGCCCACAGCAGGCACACGGTGCCTGGATGGTCCATAAGGACTTGTGCTCACAAGATAGATCATATCTCCAGATGTCTCATGTGCTTCTGGACTGAAAATGTGGAGCAGAAAAGGGTGGGGTCCCCGGGAGAAGAGCTTTCCTCACCAGGCTCCACCCCAAAGGGTTTTATTATAGAGAAGACTTGCTCTTTGAAAGCGGAGCTATTTTCACTCTAAGAGTTGTTGAGTAGCTGTGCACACCTCAAGCCTCACAATCTGGAAGGCTGAGGCAGAAAAATCCAAAGTTCTAGTCCCTTCTGGGTAACTTAGTGAGTTAAGAGACTCTGTCTCAAAATTTTAAATTTTAAAAATGGGTTGGGGATGTTGCTCAGAGCAAAGGCACTGGGTGCATTCCCCGGTACCACAAAAAGAGGAAGCAGAAATAAAAAGAGTTGGTAGGTAGGCTGTGTAGCTTCCTGAAGAAGAAGGATTAGGGGTGCTGCTGTCCCCAGGGAGGCTGCAGTTTGGAGGCCATCATCACTGAATACCCAGGGTCTCAAACAGTTTTGCTTACCAAGAATCTAAGTAGTAGCCAGGCCTGGTAGCACACACCTGTAATCCCAGCACTCAGGAGGCTGAGGAAGAAGGATCGCTGTGAGTTTGAGACCACCCTGGGCTTCGTAGTGAGTTCCAGGTCAGTCTCAACTCTACATAGTGAGACCCTGTCTCAAAAAAACCAAAAAAAAAAAGAATGTAAGTAGTTACAAAGGCTGTAGTGACATCTTTATAAAATGTGCCAAATAACTGCAATGAAATCTGAATAGCAGACTGACTTGATATTAATTATATCCATTTTTAAGGTACATGGAAAAAACTTTCCTTATTGACAGTGTTGAGTTTTACCCTCTCACTGTGCTCTGACAGAATGGCAATAGTTTGGAAGCCCTTCTCTCCCAACGCTTTTGTGTTTTAGAAACAGCTTCCTACCAAGAAGCACCCTCCCCCTACCTAGCTGAGACAAAACTCCTGGGTTCCCCTCTAAGACTCCCTCTGTGACATCCACTGAAGGCCAGACGTGACACAGCCACTTCCTGTTTCCATCTTTGCTCCATGGGGCCCACTGACCTGTTTGGCCCACAGATCAAGTAGAAGAAAATGATCCCTCTGATCTACTACCCCATCTCTTCTGTTCCTCCCACTTTCCACACCCACTTTTTACCAGACTCATCCCCTTAAAAAAGCAAAACCCTGAGTGGGGCAGGGCCAAACATCTACAATCCCAGCATTCTGAGAGGCTGAGGCAGGAGTATCCCACAAGTTTGAGGTCAGCCTGAAGTGGGACAAAAGAAATAAAAAAGAGGAAGTCATAACTAAACATTGTACTTTTAAGAAGACTCCAGCTTCTAGGATCCAGCCCATATTACCCAAGGTGATCTATATCAGCATTTTCTTGGTTAAATTTAGGCTCCTATCCTGGCAAACCTAGCACATCCCAAATTCCTCAGGAATACTGCAACCCCATAAATTGGATTAACTGAGAAAATAAAGAGCAGAAACTTGACCCTAAAATAAAAGAGCAGGTGGAGAGAATTTTAAAATGTTTAAATTTTCTATTAAAAAAAAAAAAAAAAAAGCACCCTGCACATACCTGTAGAATGGGCCAGTACCTTTGGAAGTGGACCTTTTCCCAAGGTTTCCACTCCTGCAAGAGAAACATAAATGTTCCCTTTTCCAGGAAATGACACATATCATTTCTCTGAGCACCTGCACTTCATTCTTTTTTCTTTCTTTCTTTTTTGTGGGGGAGATCAAACTCAGGACCTTGTGTTTGCCAGGCTCACACTTGCCAGGCAGGTGCTGTGCCACTGAGCTAAATCCCCAGCCGTGCACTCCGTTCTGGTGTGTCCTAAAATCTCTGCCTAATAAACTTTTAGCCTGCCTCTTACTGATGAGTACCGAAAATTCTTTTTTCAGAATGGGAGTCTTTTTTCAGAATGGTCTTCTTCTACAAAAGATTGGGTCGAGTTCCTTTTTTTTGGTCTCACACCCAGTGACAAGCCTGGGCAACATGGTGACTTAGTGAGACCCTGTTTCAAAATAAAAAATAGCTGGGGATGTACCTCAGTGCAGAGGCCCTGGGTTCAACCCCATTTTTCTCTCCCCTCAAATCAACTCCTTTGTGTAACCCTTGAGAGACTGCAGATTTTATGGATTCTTCTTCCTACTGCGTACTCTTAGCACCCTTCATTCCACCCTCAAAATAACCCTTTCAAATAAAGTCTCCCTTTACTCAATCTGGATTTTTTTTTTTTTTTTTACATTCCATGCCACATTCTCTACATTGGGCTCCTGCTATAGCGTTTTATGCGAGCTTAATGTATTGTATAGAACACCCTTGTACTTCTCTGTCTCAAGACTATGTTGGTGAATTTGAACTTGCTAATTCTGAGAAACTTTTTCTATGATCATAAGGTTGTAAGTGTTCATCTGTTTTCCCTTCAAACTGAGATAGGGCTGCAATATCAGTACTACACTTAAATACACAGCATTTCATTATGAGTCTTTTTGGATTTCTGCAACAACCTCCAATTCTCTGTCAGAGGAATGCCTTTAAACCATGCCACTTGTAAAAAAAAATTACTTCTATCTACACGAATAAGCAGCGGGAGCAGACAGTATTTCTAGCTGAAATCCCCCCACTTCTGCTCAGCAGGGGGGATCTTTCTAAAGGAAGAAGAGGTTTGGGGATCTGAAACCTGCAGGGACACACTTCCACAGGTGGCTGTGGCCCGGAAATTTTCATTTGCATAACAAGACAACCCTGGCTTGTGGTGCCTCCTCCACTAACTTTTCACAGCAGGTGCCCAGCACCCATCCCTTTAGAGCTCAGCCATTTTACCCCTCTTGGGTTGGATTCCCGTTCCTTAGACACGTGTAGGTTATTGTTGCCCTTATCTATTGCATAGAGTAGACAGAATAAGATTACTGAGCCTTCAGAGGGAAAACAGCATATCCAAGCTTCCCTACGTGAATAAAATAATTTTTTAGAAAGTACAGCAGAAACGTTTGTTTGTATAGGAATTGAACTCAGGGCCTTCGCCCTGAGCTACATCCCCAGTCCCCTCTCCCTTTTTTTTAAGCCAGGGTCTCACTAAATCGCCAAATTGCCCAGGATGGGCTCGAATTTGGGATCCTCCTGCTTCAGTGCTGGGATTACAGGTGTGCACCACCACGCCCACCTGCAACCTGGGATTTAAAGAGTGGTCCCCGCTATATACTGTATTATTTCACCGAATCCCCAGCACTCTGGAGGAGGCAGTAGCTACTGTTCCATTCTGAAGATGTGGGTGTTCTCTAGTCATTCGACCTTTGGTTTGTTTTACCAGGCTCTTAGGCGCCAGATCCTCGACACAGGAAGCCGCAAGAAAGCGAGCCAGCGGCCTGCAGCAGCGCCCTCTCTGGTCTGGTCTCTTTAAAACTTCCCGCCTGCTCAGCGTTCCAGCCACAGTCCACGCCCCTCTCTGAGTACCGCCCCCTTTGCTCCGGCTCGCCCACCCTCTGCGCTACAGGCGTGACCAATCAGAGGTGGTCTTAGGCGGGCTGTGCCATTCAGTGAGCCAATAGGCGAGCAGCCGGAGCCGGGCTGGCCGGGGTTTGTCGGAGGTGCTGGCTGACTGCGACACGTGCGGGCCGGAAGAGACGTGCAGGGCTTCAGGTGAGCCGGGGTCCTGCTCCAGGCTGTGGGTAGCACTGGCCGGCACTGCGTCTTCTGGCCCTTGGGAAGAGGCGATGCGAGCCGGGGGACAGATTCTCGCCTGGCTCGGGGGTCCGGGCCCGGCTTCGGCGCCAGG